TATTTGGTGTCTCATGCACTAAATTGGTAATATTTGTTTGTTTTCTATCACAGTAAGATCAGTTAACGATAATTACAGGCGTGTCCCCCCCTTACCACCCAAACCACACCGCAACACTTAACCCAGTTTTCATCAATGTGAGTATCAGCATCCTCACTCCACACTTTCTAATTCTCATTAGCGCCCTTGTTTTTCACCCACACTCTTTGTAGACTTCTCAAGTAAAGTCCCAACAGCCTGTGCAAGTGTCCTCAGAAGATCAGAGGGATGATAACAAGCTGCTATTTCTGAATTGGGACATGGAACAAGCCGGGCAATATAAGGCAGCGTATTGAGCAAGAAAGCAGCCTCCGAAAAGCTTTGTTCTTGTTCCTATTTAGCCGGGGATGAATGGGATGTAAAGTGAGAGAAGGGGGTACAGAGGATGAGAGGCTTGAGACGAGATGAGACTGTCATTGTAAATCTTCCGAGCTTTAACTGTCCCGTCCGTCTCACTGATAGGCTGCACGTGTCGTTACGCATTATCTCCAAGGTCTGAGTGAGTCTCTGATTAAAAGACTGCAGAGATATGGCCTGTTTTTGCTCCATGTAAAATCCCCAATGAAAGTTAAACTGTTTCCCTCGGTATTTCTCCCATTGTCCTTGAACTCTGCATTATGTGTTTGTCAAATGTCAGCGTGACATTCTACATCTACATATCCATTTTAATTTAGACTGTTATACTTCAATGACATATTTTAAGAGCTTAACTTATGAACATACAGTAACCAATGTATTTTCACTAGATTGTATTAAAAATCGGGCAAATATATTATGAAAAAAGTAAGATCTTATTCTCTATGTTGGAATTCCAGCCGTCCTTTAAGCAATAATTAGTACAGAGGAAATAACATAGTTTAATTCACCACTGTTAAGTAATTATAATGATCCAGACTTAGCTTTTACTAACCCAATGTTCTGGCAATCATTATAGGATAATTAGATGTTGAGATAATAATGATTCAAGATTCTTAAAATCAATTATAATCCCCATCAGATATAATCAAAGTTAAAAGTGTAAGCAATCCTATTATTTTTCGTTTTACAATATATTTACAGAGAATACATACTTTAATTACCTTGCAAAAAATAACATTACCTATACAGTTTAATGATCATTTTAGCAGCGTTCTCTATGTCATGTTCAACGACCTTAAAGACACATTTGAAATTAATTGAAAAGATAACAAGGTAATTAGAGAGAGAAGTTGTTTGCTCTGAAGTCATTATAATGTAGACTAACCATTAATGTACCTTTTGGGAATATTATGGAAAGTCACCACCAACACTATCATGGAGAAATATTATAATATCACCATATTTGTTTACTCGCATCAACTTAAGGCTATAATTACTTGATGTCAAAGTGAGTGGCAACATAAGTGGTGTTGCTCTACGTCTCCTGCTGACAAATAAATGCCATATCAAAACAACCTTTTGTTATCTTACAATCATATCCTGACAGTTTAGGAAATATCAAGATCAGAAATGATGTAAGAGCCAAGAATAAACCACATCATAAAATTATGATTATGTGATCGTAACAAAAAAAGACTTTCTGACGTGTGTGGTTCCAAGTCTGTCCTTGTGTTTTGAGAACATTTCAATCAGCTTATTATACAAATTGATTTATTCCCCCTTGCTGCAGGTCCATTCAATTTGTAAAACAGATTGAATTTAAAGAAATAGCTACAAGGTCATGCGTCACAGCTCAATTAATCACCTAGCCTTTCATTTAATTATTGTATGCTTCTGATACCGAGTGGAATGAAAAGCAGATTTTCTTTTTTGTTTTGTTTATGCAATGCCTTTCCAATGTACAGTATTATGTAATTGTAGTCTAATGAAATAGTGTGCTCCTCTTGTAATACATTAACCTTGGTAGCTCTCCCACGATTAAATTCCCACTGTATAATACATTTCTTTCAAATAAACACTTTTTGATTTAAGATGAAACGAGTTATAAACCGCAAATGAAATGTACCTCCACAGGTCCCTGTGAGAGAAAGTCCATAAGTTGTCAGCTGAAGGTCAGTATTAACGATAATGAACGCCATCACCTTGTGTGCTTGTGGAAATGAATAACACTGCCCTTGGAGATGCAATAAGCAATACACTGTTGTTTAATTCACAAGAAGCTCATTAAAAGGGCTCAATCTGCTGACTATTTCATGCGCTCATAATTATCTAATGCATTTGGATGAATGCACATTTCTAATATAATATCAATGATTGCTGCGTTAACACTGTAAATCCAACGTCACTTGAAATCGCTGTAGCTTTCAACCTCGAGTCACATGATCGTAATTTAGTTTGAGTGACAGCTCTTGGAAACTTCAGAACATGAGTACAAATCTAGTTTCTTGAGGTCAAACTTGAGCACCTTACTGTACATAATCTACAACTACCTGTAGTGTTTGATCATGGATCCAAGAAGGAACGAAAGCAAAACCATCTCGTGTTTAGCAATGTGATTCCATATGGCTACCTTTGTGTTACGTTCAGAAAATGAATCATGAAACATTCCTCGTTTTTCGCGGCTCTGATCTATTGCGTGATGCTTTTGGGTCTTTGATGTTTTTGAAAAGTCGAGCCATCTCTTTTATATAAGGCTTTGAAGTCGGTCTAGTTGCACTGCGCACTGATATGCTGCACTGTTGCCTACTGTGGTCACAGTGTGATACTGCACCAGCACTGCGGATCATTTTAATAATAGTACTTTATGAATTCTATTTGATGTCACCTTAAATTAACCTAGAGTATCCTGGAGTGCTTTTTTTTCCTCTAACATCTGGCGTGCTAATCACTAGAATTTAAAAGGTTTAATTAAAGTTGAAGCTCAAAGCAGTAATATTTTCAAAACTCTCTGGGAGTATAGTGGTTGCTGCTGTTATTATAAGTGCACTGCTGTATGATATGTACATGTAACAGTGAGCTGGGGGACTGGGTGACTCTCTGAACTATGCACTGTGCACCACTAGGGAGCATCAGAGCACTTTTAAGAGAAAGAAGGATTTGAATGCTTTATACTTGGCCGAGCTGAGTTCGTTATCATATAGGGTTTCGGTAGGGTTTGTATGGATGCATAAAAACAAATTGGGTTCATATAAGTACATTGTACATTGAAACTTACATTTCATCTGCTGAAGGACTCTCATGAGAACTTTGAAGGCATGTATTTTGAGCTGAGCAACACTCAGAAAGATGGAGTTTTGTTGAGCTCTATATGTCAGAAAACAATGTCATGTTTGAGTAACTACATAAGGAATGTGAGGAGGCTTGAACAGTAGGGAGGAGGTCAAAAACAGCATAAAACAAGCTTTGAGCAAAGAATATTCTGCAACCGTTTGGTTTGAAAATGCTGCTTGAAGTTTACCATGAAAAAGAAATGGCTTTCATGTGAAGTTGTTTTTCAGAATTATACATTTCAGCGTCAGAACTCCTCTGAGCTTTGATGAATACAGGGAGCGTGGGAAAAAACTGAACACAACCCATGTTCTTTCTTTTAAAAATGAAGGTATCAAACTTTCAAACACATGGTTTTGATGTTGACTGAGTAGCTTGTTCAAGGCAACTGTCTACACGTTGGGTTAGTTACACTTTAAATCTCTCTAATTAACACACTTCAGGTTAGAACAGCTTCAAGCAGCCGACTTCAAACTTATCTGTATTGGTCTTCTTTGGCTTTGCAGCTGAGATGATGTTTTTTTTCCTAATTATGAATGCAATTATGATATTTTTAAGAATACCGAGGCCATGGATACCATTAGGAAATATCATTATCCACATTAGTGTCTGAATAACCCAAACACATTTTCTCACCTCTTGAAAAAACAACACACCAAGAAGAACCCCACTATCATTTTAATCCATGAGTGCATTTAACATTCAAAAAAAGTATACCTACCGAGAACATGGATGTGATCTATATTTGGATCCACTGTAACCTTGTTGATGTGAAATGGGTTCATGAAATATTTGTGTTGATGAAATATTCATTGGACAGGCAGCCAGGTCAAAAGGCATTATGCCCAACAAACATTCAATTTAGTGGAAATAATAGTTGACGGCATGTTATAGATACATCACCACTTGTAAATACTTGTCACTACATGCACAGGTTTCTGTTAATTACTTAAACAGAGCATTGTGAAAAAGCCCCACATAGCCACGTTAGAAAATAAAAATAAAAATGCTTGTCTGAAAAATTAAAGGAAAATAAAATCAGCTGGACTTTATTTGTCATGTTTAAACACAACATAAATTACTGTTAATATGACTAATACAGACATTAATACAGTTTCTTAAAAAAAACGCCCATAAAACTCTTGCATAATTTACAAAACATGGTGTCCCTGTGCTATCCAAGACACATCTGTGCCTATGCTCCCCAACAGAGTTCAGCATACCAACACTGTCCCTTTTTTCCCCAAAATGAATATTGGGTATTTAAACATTGAAACTGTTTTTTTTTTTTTTTAAAAGCATCTCAGAGAATAAGACATTTTGATGTTTACAGTGCTAAATCTGGTATACATAGTGGTTGTTTGGTGAGGATATTTCTAACGTCAGAAGTCTCTGATTTTAAAAACAAGCATTTGCTCAAGGATACTGCTTGCTCCACGAGTTTGAACTCTCGAGCCCCATACTTCTAGAGAAGTGCAGATATGCATAATGTAAACATTTTGTTTGATCTTTTAACATTCTCTGTTGAGCCAGACTTTTTTCTTGATGAAAACAAAACAAAAGACACCTAAGTTAACTCACTGTTTCGTCAAAGACACCGCTATTCCTCTGCATCAGAGTCCAGAGTCCGAAAGGCTTGTGCAACAGAGGAACTGACCTGTAATTGCCATTGTAAGGCTTGGTGTAGTTATACATTTACTCTGTAGTCCCTAGGTCACAATGCACAGCATTGCTTTTGACCACTTGTACTTTTTTGTATTTCTTATTTTATTTTCAAAAACACACGACACTCAGGATACATACTGTAGAAGCAACCTTTGATTACAGTTGTTTTCATTTGTCCGCTTGAAAGTCTCTACCAAAACTAAGTCTCTTTGGCAGAAAATGCCCCTCTTATTGTTACCTCTTCCCGATTTCACTTTGCCGAAGAAAGTGGATGTTATTAGCACTGTCTGCTAACTCTGGGTACTGCTCAATGGAGAGCACATAGTACCCGTCGAACCCCAGAACCTTTCCACTACTCAGAAGCTGCCTCTTCTCCCCCTCTGTCCAGGGGCGGACCCCTTCCTCTCCATCCCTCACCCGCTGCTGCTCCCTCGCCCACGCACCTGCGAGGGCGCGCTGACGGGCGAACTCAACCACCCGCACTTTCTCCTCGTCCACCGTGGATCCATAGCGGATGTGAAGACCTAGGGCACCGGCATGAATCTCCACATCTGCGAAACGCCGAGTCCGGCTATCCATGACTGTGGTGGACTGGGAAACAGTGACATTGACACCGTTCTCCAGAGTCTTATGTCCACTAGTGAGGTGCAACGAAGCAAGGTCGGCATCTGGAAGGCCAGGCTTGACAAAGTAATGTGTGTCTCGTCCTTCTATGGTGAAGTGGAGTTCTTCCAAGTAGAAAGCATTGTTAAGGATTGTTGCAACCTTGATGCAGTCCTCACCGGCCACATTGAGCGTGTGAGTGTGAACGCTGCCCTTGTAGATGGCGAACATAACGGCTCTTCCGATGGGAGACATTGCCGCCGAGAACCACAGCCAAGACTTTTCACCTCTGCGACCTCGAGTGAGATGGACCTCTGGCAGCCGTTCGAATGACAAGAGAGAGTGCGCTTGTCTGGTAACTTCCTGCTGGACCCCAGAGATAGACTGTAGGAAAAGTGCAGTGAAACGTTAACGCCTGAACATGGCAGAACCAGACTCTCCAGGCCATTTAGAACCAGCTACTGCTCTGCTTGAGAGAGTTTGTCATCCCTGTCTAAGATAATGGTCTTTTCAAGCTGTGTTCTCAAGCCAAAAGTAGATAAACCCCCCATGACAATTTTACAGCAACACTTTTTTATGTTAAGGCCTTAAACCAGACAAGCCTGGCATACATAACTTCAAAAGATTGTTTAAACGGTAATAACACCAACATATTACATAGCAAGTTAGACAGTGTCTAAATGGAAAGTAAAACAACAACACAGGGGGAAGTAACATTTTTGCTTATTATGCGTATTATTATGCAAATACAGCCCAATTAAAATTGATATTCCATGAAATACATAGCAATCCAATTAGGAGATGGCAGTTTCAAAATACTGACTTGAGAAATAAACAATAGAAAAATGTTTGTTTGGTTACCTGTCTAATCCCCTACCTACACTATACTGAAAGGCATATTTTCTGTTGGCTGGAGGAATACAGCAGTGGTTTATCGCGTGTTCAAAATGCCTGAGAGATAATCATTGTACCCACCGGCAGATCATCCCAGCGCTGACTCTTCATCAGTTCATAAGATGGCATACTGAGGTCAAACTTAGGGACCGGAAACCCAGGGATGGTGTTGTGAAGATGAAAGCCAAAGGTGACAAGCCAGCTGTTCACATCTGTGAAAAATATAAAAAATAAAACATACTTCATTCAGTCACATGTTACTTTTGTACCAAACCTTAAATGTTTACCAGAAAAACATTTATATATATTTATTTACTTTCAAAAAAATGTATATACTGCATTAAGGAAAAACATTGTATAACTGTAGGTTTTAACACAATTTATTGATGAGCAAACACTATGACTCTAGGTGTTTGTATACATAGTACGTTTGTGCTTTAAGTACCTGACATTATCAAGACTTATTACTACAAAATAAAATAAGGTAGTAAAAAAGTACACCCCCTATTAACTGATCATTAAAACAGCTACAACTTACTATACAATATATCTGGGCCAATGATCAGATGAATATATACATGATTTTTTTTATTTGATAAAACATTAATAGAAAAAATGAATCATTATTTGAAGCCCTAATAGTGATCACCAAAGTATATATCTTACCTGCAACATACTCTCTCAGTTCATGGACTTTGCTGATTGGGTTGTTATTTCTAAACATGTAGAGATTAAAAGGAGCAGGTTCTTTGCTCATCTTTTGCAAAGTAGAGATATCCGGAAGAGTCCATCTGCCAGACATAATGTCGTAATCCTGCTCCCCGAAGTGCAGCAGTTTGGTCAGGGGTTCGTACAGACCTCCGTGAAACCCGAGCACAAGCTGGAAGTCTGGGTTTGAGTCGAAGTAGACCTCACCGTACGCCGTGTACTGCAGCTGTTTGACCAGGAGGCCGTTGCTGGTGAAGACAGCCAGAGGAGTGCCGGTGTTATCACAGGCGATGTAGAACTCCTCCCCGCTGCTGATCTCCATAGCAAACAGGTGGCCTTGAAGGTCGTAGTAGAGCGACGTGATCTCTGAGCTGGAGTGGTTGTATACATGTGTAATCCTAGCTGGGTAACTCAGGTCTGCGTAGAAGTACTGCAGGTGTTGGCCTAGGCTTGACTTGGTGGACACTCTGCGCCCCAGTCCATCGTAGCGGTACTGAATGGTCCAGCTGCTGCTCTTACTGTAGACCCGCACCAAGAGTCCTTTGGAGTTGTACTCAAAGATCTCTGCCCCTCTCTGACGGAGGAAGCCGTCTTCATCCATTCTGTACTGGATGTCTCCCAGGCGGGTGATTCGGTCTCTCAAGTCGTAGCGCAGAGGAAGAAGCCTGGCACTGTTTCCTGCGTTCAGCAGATGCAGATTCCCATTAAGGTCATACGTGTAGCGCCACATCACTTTCTCGTTCAGGTACACAGTCTGCAGCTGGCCGTCAACATCATACTCATAGCTGTACTTGGTGGTGTTGGCGAAGGGGCCGATCTTGATCTCTCGCTTGATGACTCGCCCGACATCGTCATACTGGAAAGTGATCCAGTACATGAGGGAGCGGAATATCTCGTACTGGATCTCCTTGATGCGACCATGTGCATCGAAGTGCTTGGTGTAGGTCATGACTGCAGTGGATATGATCTGATTTATATCGTAGTAAATCACCCCAAACTTCCCAAACTGCTCAACTTTCCCCGAGATATCATCAAACTGGTACAGATCGATGGGTAACGGTGTTTCGTTGATGACACCTTGCACGCTTGTCACTCGCAGGCTGCTGTCGTAGGTGTAGTCGAAGCGGGCATTGACCATGCCATCCTCGCTGAAGCGGAAAATCTGCCGGTCCACCAGCGGACCCACTTGTCGATAACGGATGGAGCAGATGAATCCCTCGTTCTGCAGGTTGACGGTCTTCAGCACTCCTGCCGTTTCGTCGTAGGTGAAGCTGACCCTGGTGCTGTCGTACAGGATCTCTGCCAGTTTGTTCTGCCTCCTGTATCTGTACAGGATCCTGCGGCCTGTGCCGAGGTGAGCGATCCTCATTAGAAGGCCGTCTTCGCTGTAGTCCACAGCCACTGAGGCGTTGCTCTCCGGGGGGTGATAAAGATTCCTGTAGTACCCCACTGAGCGGATGGTCTGCATGGTGTAGCGCGCTACGCTTGGCATCGTGACAGCAGAAAGACGGTCCAGAGAGTCGAAATCAAATATGTACTGCCGCTGACTGTGGAGCAGGAGAACCATGGACTAAAGGGGAAAGAGATACAAAATAGCTGGTGTTATCTTGGGTTGCATAATATCTATAAATAATATATTATTAATCCCTCAGACAAGTGCAAAAATATCCTGTTTCTGAATAGGAGAAACCGGGTATATGAAAAAATGCACTAGGTAGTGTCAACTCTTAGAGACAGCAAGTACCAATTCACAGAGGTCGCAGAAGTCAAGTTCCCATCTGATTAAGGGTTTCAAAATGATGGAATGGCTTTTCACACATTATGAAATACTGTGCATTTATTCAATAGCCTAAAATACCATTTAACTGCTTTTTCATACACTTTCAACAATTTTCTTTTTGTTTACATTTGTTATTTTATTGATGGTTTTTTATACGTTTGAATACTTAAACATGAATGTTGACTTTATATTAATTTGTGTATATTGACCTGTGTTTTCTATAAAACAGGGAACTTTAACATTATTTAGATGGAGGTTTTAAACAAACCTAGTGGGTTTTCTGCTTTTTTCCTATATGTTATATTTGTGCTCTCCATTTTCTAATCTCTTGAATCCTTTAGTTATCAACATTTTCCGTCAAATACATTTACTAAGGATGCTGCTGTACAAGATGGTATATTTGTTAAGATATTTCGAACTGTCAATGATGATCCACTAATCTACATTAGCATGTATGTGACATAAGCAATGTAACATACCCACACAGACTATTTTAATTTAAAGAACAGTATATGCAGTGTGATCTTCCATCTAAAGCTTTGCCACTATTTCTGTTGAAAAGCCATGCCCAGTCATCCGTTGTGACAGAGGTTCCCTGTGCTCCCTGAGCTCTCTGTGTTCCTTATGTCAGAGTGTTGACATGGGCTCTGCAGGTCACGCAACGAAGGGAAGCAAACAGGAGCGGCTCAGGAAATCTCTGCATGTTTTTGAAAAGCTGTGCATACTATACCAGTACAACCATACCAAATAGAACACTTAAAACAAGGATAGTGAATAAGGATAGTGAATAAGGATAGTGAATAAGGATAGTGAATAAGGACATTTTAGTAGGAGGGAAAGTGTGATGTATTTGATGTAAAATGCATATGTTGAAAGATGTGTCAATTTTGGTTTTTGCCTAATGTCCTGTATTGTGTGCTATTATATACTCACTGTTTAAATAATTTAGCCTCAGCGTGTCTCTGTTATTTAGCAGAGAAGCATCCTATATTTTCCAAAGAATACTGTAATGCTTAGTGCAGACCTGAAACCTAAAAATACAGAGCAAAAAAAAAAACTATTTGTCGTGAGTTTTGATGTGACAGTCAGAAAGGAGGACAGGCATATATTTGAAAATGAAAATGATCCCCTTGCAGGATCTCATGTAATTGCAGTGTGTTGTTCCAATGTTTACACCTCGCTAAAATTTGAAAAAGGTGGAAGCAATAATTAGGTATTAAATGTCCGCTCTTTTTTTGCCATTCAATTTGAGTTCAATTAATTGTAATTGCAAGGGAAAGAAAAACATGACAAAATAAAAGCAACCCTTTGATTTATTGTACCAGTGTTAGCACAAAGCTAATTGTGCAGTAAAAACCAGGACACCATGCTATCACTAACAGGACAAGATAAACAATTCATCGCACCTCTATACAACTCAGTCTCAAAGTCTGATTTAAAGAGTACACTCATCTATTACACATGTACTGTAAACTATTGCCTGCTGCCAGAGGATACTGCAACTCAGTGCAACCCACCACACAAGAAATATGTTATTAGTGCAGAGATGTAATCAGCCCTGCTGTTCTAACCATGTGGAGCCTCATTTCCTTGGCTTCCTCTGGCAATCTATACCATGCGTACTGTGTAGAGGTTGAGCTATAGCAAAGGGATGCAATCCCTGTGAACATTTTTATATCTAAAGCTTATAAATGATGCTCATAAATGTGCAGTTAGTGTAGAATTATTACCATGTATGCTAAGTGCCTCTGTAAGAAGCAGAATTATGTTCATGGAGCTGGTGATTATTGCAAAATAGGCCTCTTCAGGGTGACCTCTGCTACACATCAGGGTTTTTATTCACCCTGTAGCGATGATGACTAGCCTGCTGCACAGTATATCTTACATATTGCCTCCTCTGGTCATGTTATTTTCTCACCTGCTCCAGGTAGGTGTAACTCCATATTTTCCCATCAGCAAACACCCTGGATATCAGGCGGCCCTGACTATCATACTCCAGTCTCTCCGTGGTGGGACCTCTTTGCAGGGCGCTGATTTGCCCACTGCTGGTGCGGCTCACATTAACCGGCAGTAGCTTACTACTGGGCACCCACAGCACCGGGTGACCTGATGTGTCGTATATAATCTTTAAGAGGAATTTCCTGTGGTCATCGTAAATCTTCTCCGTCCTCAGGGTGCGATCGTAATCGACAGAAAGAATGTTCCGTCCGTTCACCTGCGGGATGGATTTGATTTACCAGCGTGTTAGTTGGCGCGTAAAAAACCGACTACCATTAATAATCATAACATTTGACTTACAGATAAGACTAAGAAGAAATACAGGGGTACAATGCACGTGCATTCATCCTCTGAAATTCTCAGTTTTTATAATACTGCTTTTGGTCTGGATGGCTCTCTAAATCCTATTCACATCATTTTCACTAGAGTTGTCACAGAGATTAACACTTCCCTCCCAAGGCTCATTTAACAGAGACACTCTGGTGATTATTCAGGTGCACTTAAATCACAACCTTCTAAATTTAGTGACAAAATTACTCAGAGGCAAAGTAACCACCCAAGTAAAGTTCATGAAGCAGTGTTCATAAATCTGAGTGTCAGACTCTAAGAAGGGGGGAATAAGAGAATTATTTTCAGTACAAGAATATTGATAACCCTCTATATCAGGAACTAAATATTATGAGAGCAATAAATCTTAATGGCAGAAATAATTGATTGTTATATTCATTTGAAATTGTTAAAATAAGAACCCATAAAATACCCATGTGTGATCTAATGTTTATGCAACTCCTCTTTATATCTAACAGTGTCATAATCACTGGAGGTAAGCTAAGCCATGGGAAATTACCACTTCTTGTATTCAGGGCCTGTTTGTAATTTGCATGTGCCCAAGAGAGTAAAATAAATAAATCAAACATACCCTAAGCTTGCGTCCAAACACGATAACTTTGCCTCTGGCTTGTTCTTTGCGGAAGCGCCACTCTACCAAGTTCTGCCCACTCTCCCCTGGCAGGCTCATGTTGCGCCTGGCTACGGTGGGGTTGGCAGCGCCGGCCAGGATGTGGGGCTCTGTCTGGTAGTGGGTATCCATCCCATTGGCATAAGTAATCCTCAGCGAGTTGTCAAAGCCCACTTGATAGCTGCTTCTACATTGGTCTATTGATGGGAAACAAAAAAGGCAACTTAGAACAGAGGAACGAGCAATTACACAGACCAACGGATGTTATTGACTTTCTCATGTAACTATTGGCTGTAGTTAATCATGCTTTAAATTCTTAGTATTGTATTTCAGAAATGTTTCCTATGTCTGATCATTAGTTGTGGCTGAAGCTGTTGCCGTGCTCCTGCCTGACTTCCATTATTCTTTAGCAATACCTAGAACATTTTTATAAAAACAACTGCATGCATTTTGTATCACACAGATTGTCTATATCTATTGCTTTGTTTTAGTAATACACACAACATGTGTCCATCCTAGGAGAGGGATCGCTCCTCTGTTGCTCTCCCCAGGTTTTTCCATTGTTCTCCCAATTAATTTGGCTTTTTTGGGAGTTTTTCCTTGAACGCTGCGAGGGTCTAAGGACGAATGGTCGCATATGCTGTGCACATTGTAAAGGCCTCCTGAGACAAAAGTGTAATTAGTGATATTGTGCAATATAAATAACATCTGACTTGATTTTGATGTTCAGATAAAAGAACAAACATGAATGAAGGGCTGAAGTAACTTGACCATCTGGGTCCGGCAGGGAGTAGAAACCATTTAGAAACAAGGTTGCTGTGTCTCCGTGTCAAACCCACACACTGAGAGAGTAATCATTTACACTGTCGTCTGTCAGACCCTGTGAGCTGTAATGATACACGACTTCAGCTTACTCAACATTGCCCCGGCGACCCCTGAAACAATGAAAAATAACATCTTACAAAATAGCCGCCTGAGCCTGGAAGAAGTGCCGCGCCCTTACCCTGAGCCAGAGTGTAGAAGGCACGGATGGTGGAGGTGTTGGTGGTGATGCTGATTTCCTCGTCTGTCATGGAGCTCTCGATGTCCACCGTCAGAGCGCTGAATATGTCTGTGTACAAGTTGTTCACCATCCCAGTGGGGAACGTCACATTCATCAGCCGTCCTTCGCTGTCATAGCTTTTTGATACAAAAGAAAGGAACGTGACAAAGCATTGATATGTGATGGCTCTCAGGGCATTCAATTATCAGCTCTTTGAGTAAGACTATCGACTGTCATATTTCTCTTTTTTTTTAAAAACTCAATTTCATAAGAGAAGGGCTGTCTGTATCAACCTAAGGCACAATACAAATATTCAATGTGTGAGAGTGACCCGCCTCGCCAGCCGTCCGTTTTTATATTTAAAAAAACACTCACACAATGATTTCAATTATCTCAGATGATTGATGTGTCATTTTAATGTCTCCTGAACGCTCTGCTTTTTTAGCTAGAGTGGGGATATTATTCATGGCATAATGTGACATGACAGCATATTACACAAGGGAGAAGAATCACTGAGAGGCCATTTTACCAAAATATACTGTGTCTTTATGACCTTTATGAGAGCCCAGGTGGATTATTATAACAAGATATAATCATGAACTAGTCATTTCGGTAAATGTTACTTTGACTTTTTCAACCTATTGTAACAAATGCTTTGTTGCAAGATTATTTATATACACATCATTTTGGATGATTACTTTTTATAGTCTGATAAGGCTATTTCTGAGACATATTTATAACTAGGTATTCATTATGAAGCAGTTTGCAGGTAAGTCTGTTTACAAACTATAGACAACACTTTGTCTTTGCACCTGATGAATTGAAGTTTTAGTTTTGAATTAGAAAAAGTAACTTAAGTTTTAGTGTCAAAGTTAATTAGTGGGTGACAAGTCCAAACAAAGGTTTAATGAACTGCTGTTAATACTGCCCTCTCATCCATGAGCAGGGAATACTTTTTTTATTTTCTAAACATAATATTATCTGCCAGATTGCAGAGTGCATTTGTTTTACATAAACTGTATTAGCATGCACAGTGGGGGGATGTTTTAATGGGCAGGTCCCAGATGCAGAAAGCCTGAATGTATTACAATCTAAATCTGCGTGACTTTAGCAAATGACGTTAAGATTTTCTAACAATGTTCTTGCCGAACTCCATCGAACTTACTCGTAGAAAGTCGTCCATCCAATCTCTGATGTCTTTGTGGCCAGCAGGCCGTTGTTACCATGGTAGGTGAGAAGCACCAGCTCCTGGCCCTGTGCTGTGAGTGTTTTCAGTCCACCATTAGTGCCCATGGTTAGCCAGATCACCTGGTTATCAGGGGCGACGATACGAACCGGTGTGCGGTTAGGATCTCTGCGGATCCTCAGAGTGTTTCCACTGCTGTCCGTCACGGCTGTAATATCGTTCTCTGTGCTGTAGCTGAACGTGAATTTCAAGTCACCAGTGAGCAGGCTAGCAGTGTGCTGGTGGGTGCCGTTACTGTCAAACACATACAGCTCCTGGGCATCAGGGGAAGCCACCTCAAATGTATTGGCGCTGGGAGTTGGCCCGTTTTTAGTGATGGCCCGGATGCGGATGTTGCCCAGGTCCGCCACGTAGAGTGTTCCATCTGGAGCTGCCACTAAAGAAGATGGAGCATTAAGCCTCGCATCTTTGGCATAGCCGTCCCCTGTCTGGTAACAGTCACAGTTGGCATCGTTCTTGCAATCGCAGTCGGAGAGAGATCCGGCCAAATGCGTTATCTCACCATCCACAGAAACCTTTCGGATCCTGCTCATCTTCCTCTCATCCGTCTCCGCTATGTAGATGGCTCCATGGTAAGATATGGCGATGGCAACAGCAGATTCGATGGGAGTTAACTGCGCCCTTTGACCACCGGCCACGCCGCGCTCCATGCCAGCCAGCGGGCAGTGGAGGGGTCGGCCAGCTGCGATGCTCACTTGGCCGTTCTCCGTGATGCGCAGCACAATGTTGTTGTCCAGGATGTACAGAGAGTTGTCCATGGGGCTGACAGCAAGGTCTGTGGGCCACTCCAGAATCACCTGAAATATCCAAATTATACATTTAAAATGAAAGGTAATAGCTGCATTCAAGTAATTATCATTCATTAAAATAAATATCCATTTTAGTCCCTTTCCGAATCAATAGTGATTTACATGCACATAAACAAAATAGCACTTTCTAAATGGTCATGGTGGGATTGAATAAAGATCAGCAGTTTAAAAAGAGTCTAATCAATGTTGATTTCAGAAGGGCATGAATACATCTTAATTATAGTCATAAATAGGCTGATATAAGTACACAAGATGTGACACAATCTGTAAAAAGAGAAACTGTGTCACTAGCCACAGAAAGATAATGTATTTAAGATAAGATAAAATGGTACTTTATTGATCCCAATAGAAATAAACAAGAAAATAAAGAAATAGAAAATATACATGTTGGATTTGACAAGATATTATATATACAAATATATAAATATATGACATATGGAATATTAATATTAAACCGATTATATAAGTGTAAAATGTACAACATGGTTTTATTCCAAGAGAAACTACGGAGCAGAGAGTTCTCTTCCAGCCAGAGGTGATTTATTGTACAGAGTTATTGCAGTGGGCAGGAGTGTGTTCCTGTATCGGTCCTTGTGACAGAGGAGCTGCAGCAGTCTGTTGGAGGAGGAGCTCCGTTGACTGTCCAGCTGCAGGTGGAGAGGATGGGTGGGGTTATCCATGATGGACAACAGCCTGTCCTCCTCTCCACCACAGTCATATCAAAATATGACATTTGTCAAATATTCTTAATTTAACGTGGACATTTGGACGGTGCAGGAATGAAATGTTACACTTTATTTTTCAGAGTAGTGTCTCTTTAAACAATACCGGTTATTCTTAAATATATGTATGATTTCAATTGGCCTGAAGGAAAATATTCATAATATATCTTTTACCTTTAGGGTAAGAGATTAGTGCTTATCTTCTGGTGCTAGCGCTACTGATACATGACTTTAGAGGATCATTCTGGCAACAGTGACTCTTAAGATCATTTTCCATTATGCCTTTCTCCCTTGTAAACATTTCATTTTGTATCATGCTGTAACTGGGATGTAAAACTATGTGAAATTCCAGGGGGGTTATGCCCTGTGTGGCTATGGTTAGCTGCCAAAATAACCCTGAGCGTGCATACTAAGTGACGCTGCAGCCTGAAAAGGGAGCAGCCCATTAAGTGATCAATTATGTGTATCAAATTAAATCAAAATTAAGTGATACAATATTTCTCCCACAATAATCAAAGCAGTATTAACCACATCTTGAAAAGAATAACAATCCAAAGCTTTAACCCTGGCCAACTATTACAATGTGCTTGTCATAAATGTGTCAGTGAATGAAAAGCTTATTTGTAACAGCACAAATGACTGGCCTGGCCTTTAAATACAGAACTGTCATTAAAGCTGTCAAAACGCTTCTGAATTGCGCCTATCCGCAGGGTGATTAATAGTTAAACACACTGCCTCTAAGGCTGCCACCAGTCAAACTGCACCGAGCCAATTCTCTGCCTGAGACGCCTGAGGATCACACGGTCTCGCCAAAACCATGTCTTTATTGGCTCTCACCAAATGACTTGGTTAATTAGCTAAAAGAGACAAGCTTAATCCTTTGTCTTCATGTTCTCTTATGTTCTCCCCGTTATGTACACCCACACATGCACATGCACAAACAAAGATTGCTTTATGGTCTGTTTACATAAAAAAGACATTCTATGCTGTGAAATAATTACTTTTTCTCCGAACATGTATGCCTTTCTATTATTATATATCCTCTGAATAAGACACAAGAACATTTTATAACATCTGCTATCGGGGGTCATTTGGTTTTCACTGTTACAGTCCTCCCCAACCACAAGTGTTTTGTTTTGTAGTTAAATACTTTCTTTTTCGTTTGGTATGCTGATCATCAGAAATCTAATTAAAATGTAAATTAGTTAGTTACAAAACAAACCAAAAAACACTGTTATGTCTGGCTCACAGATGTAAGAGGGGGGAGAACGAAATCCGCCGACAATTTATTTTTCAACGGCCAGTACACGTTGACTTTCTGCAGAAGCAGGAAATAAAAAAATGCTGTGAACACTTCAATCTGAATATGATAAAAGCCTTTTTTGGTTTTTATTTTCCTTCATTATTCATCTTAAGTCAGATCTCAAATCTAAAAAAATGAAATGAAGGGAGATATTAATGTTTAAGGGAGCAGTAAGGTGCACTTCTTTGGAATAAGTGCAAGGCTATTGTAATGTCCTAACCTTTTGTGTAAGGCCAGGGCTCGGCTTTTATGTCCCCTGATTCACAGGGAGTCAGTAAATTCTGTGGGACAAAGCCGGCCGTCTGTAGAAAAGGTTTTATGTGCCGCGTGCTCGCTACCAATTGCTGCTTCATTATCATGTATGGTGTAAGTGTCCTCACTCTTGAGAATGTCTAGTGGAACACTAATTCAGCCCCAGCCACATCAAAACAAGGCCCCCAAAATGAGTAATTATTCTTCCCTCCATATCATTTGCCGTGACCAGAGAACTCATCTTCTCAATAAACATTTCATGTCTCCACTTCCTGCATGAATCGAATGCCCCTCCTTGCAAACATTTTCCTCCTGTACTTTCAGAGAAAATGCTTTCTTGTTGAGTCCAGAGCGAAAAGCACCTTGTAATGTTCTTGTGACCTTATTCCACTAATGCCACTGAATGTTTCTCTGGATAAGATCTCTTATAGTTAACGTTTATTCAACAAAGAATTCCACTTTAAGATTTCAATTTTCTTTCTTTTTTGTTAAGTGTACTGACCAAGAGAGGCAGCAATAACAGAGTCACAAGCTAACATCATTAAGTAGATAACAGAATGTATCTCACTAGAAATTGGATTACAAAACCATAAATAAAATTGCCAATAAGCATCATTTAAAAGATAACAATCTGAAGAGGCACTTTAAAATCAACCTGAAGGCAATCTAACCATCTAAACATCTCAGAAATAATGACATTATGCTTTCAAACAGTAAATGAATTACACTTAAAACATCCAGATTGTAATATTCTCCCAAGTAGCAGCCAGAAGAGAGTGAATACTGCAGCAATGATTTAAATTCCCGGAAAGAAAGCAGTTTTTGCAATTTCAAATGTAATTGCAGAAGGTATGAGACGGAGAGAGCGGCATGCAAAATACCTCTTCTACCTGGTTGTGTATAAACTGTTAATAATAATATAGACTTAAAAAAAAGCCCCTGCATGTCTTTCATAAAAAACCAGAAGCCTAAAAATATTAGCGTTCATGAAAATGTTAGTTATACTGCAGAGGTAATATATATGTTCCGTTATATAACACTGCATATGAATGATGAGTCATGGGTGAGCAAACTAAAAGAGGGTTATAGGAGAGGTGGGGGCTCAGGGTGGCGCTGTGACATGTTCTGTGTGAGGCGCAGTGCACATCTGTCTGCCACATGTGTGTCTAAGTCACCTGATTGATATCCATGCTGTTGTCACAGGTCAGAGGTCGAGCCGATGTCAGGTCGTTTGAGCCGAGGAAAGTGGAGATGATGCCGTTCTGGTCCACCTTTCTGATCGTGGTGCCATCCACAAAATATATCAGGCCGTTCTTGCCCACAGCGATGCCTGTTGACATCAGGTTGGAGGGGGGAGGTAGGAGAAAAGAAGAAGGAAGGAGGGAAACAAAATATGTGATAACAGGAAAACATGGTAGATGTGCGACATCTCTGCTTGCATGACTCAGTGGACGGTACACGATGGATACATGTGTCAAGCTTGCCTTCCCATTATTCAGGTCACTGCAAAAAGCACATCCATCAATAATTCACTGGCTGCTTTTCTAGTATTAAATAATTTCTCAGGCAGAAGTGGGAAAGGCTGTATTCATACGGTATATATATGCACTTGCCACGTCTTGTAACCCTCCTCTCTAAAGAAGGACCTCAGGAAGTGGGGGTGTCAATGAGGGGTGCGTTCGGGCGATTTTTTCGACATGGGCAATCATCAACAATCTGCACACCATTTGAGAAATGAAGAGCGAGGGAGCGGAAATGACAGCTTCGGCCAATTTTAGATGAAAGGGGTGAAAGACAGGCAGTTGCCATGGTGACAACTGTGGGCTAAATTGTCTTAGTGATTAAGTGTAAGTTGCAGTAGAGCCAGTGTGGAGTTGCAATAACGGGCGTCCAAAAATGGGGGAAATATTTTAAGGAGCGACGCCAGCCTCCACATACCTATGGGAATTAAATAATGCCTAACATGCAGAGAAACTATTTTTCATTCCCCCATGTTGTTTTTAACACGCCTTGGCTTTGGGTTTTGATTGTGAAGAATGAAAGCCGCTGATCTCAGAAACACATTTGTAAAGATTTCTCTGTGGCTTCCAGAGGATTTTAAATGTTTTGAGTAACTTCAAGTTTTACCCCACAAGCATGATTTATTTTTCAATGGAGTCTTTAAAAGCTTATATGGAAGGCGAGTGGTTTGGTTTGACCTGTGGCTAGGTCTGCACAAGATTGCTTTCTGCTAAAACATTTACGAGTTGAGGGAGCCCACGGTGAATCCTTGGGAGCCGGCTATTTGACAGTCTGAGATTTGCAGACGAATGAAAAGTGTCACATTTGAGTAAAGTTCACCAAATGTCTGAGAGGAGAAAAAAAAAGGAAAAAGTAGCCATCTGCTGTTTCTTCTATGGTCTCGGCTTCCACCCACTCCATCATTAGAGTTGCTCTCAGATTGCCTTCACTCAAGACTCTATCACCCAGCCGAAGCCGAGCTATTGCAGTTGGCATTCAGAGCGGGCAACAACTAGCGCAAAAACAATTCATCTCGGCCTTTCATCCAGAAGAAATTATGGAAAAGTGAGCAATCCAAGCATAAATGGCACAAATGACCATGTGAATGTGGACGACAGGTTGTGCACAGCGGGTAATACATGTGAATAGCTGTTACTTTAAGCTTTAAAGGACTGGAGAAGGCTCTACTTTCACAGAAGCTGTTAGAGTTAATAACCTTCAAGAGTAAACTTTAAAAAGGATATTTACAAGAATACGCTAAAATAAATTAAGCATTATCATTCTGGAGGGTTAAAACAACACTAACTTCTTCACAGGCAGCAATCATTCACAAGGTCTTCTGCTTACTTCTACCTCAACACATAACCCACAATTAAAAATCATCCATTAAAATCAATCAGTTGGCCCAGGCTTGGCACAGTCCCCAATGGCTCACATCAATCCAAATTGTGCCGTTGCCATTGCTGATTGAGAAGCCCATCACTGTGACCCACCCCCTCCATTTGAGTTCAACGTCTTCATTAGTTTTAAATGATACCTTTGGGTCCGGTGAGGAAGGCCTCTGGAGCTTTTCCTCCGTCTCCACAGTGGTTCTCATCAAAGGGCAGGCAGTGCTCTCCTGTCCCTGCCACCACCTCTGCATTCGCCTGCAGTTCCTTGGTCCCACTTAAGATTTTGGGTCTGTAGATCCTCCTGGAGTTCGTGTCCGACACGAACAGCTGGCCACTGACTGGATCCGTTGCCAGGTAATAGCGGTGTGCCGGGTTGTTACTGCATTCAAAACAATACCTCAGTTATCAAAAACATACTGTGCCAGACTTCTCACTTTAAGGCCCTTTTCTTACAATGCATCTACAATTCTTTCAATTTACCCCAAATGTGATCTCAATCCATACTCTCCGTAAGACACTTGAAACAACCTGTAAACCCCATTTGATGAAACGTAGCCTGCATTTCCTCTGAATTAAACTTTTATTGATTCCATTATACATTCCCAGGGCACTAACATTGTCTTCACTGGATTTTTGTAAAAGTGTGTACAGTAGATAGATATACACTTTGGAATAAGCTCGCAGAACGTTTAAGGGGGTTTTGAAAGTCCTGCAGACTAGCATACATTGTTGTACATAATGTAATACAAAGAGTTTCATCAGAATATTAAACTTCATTAAAAAAACGAATACATTATCTACTAGCTATTACATATATTTCCTTAAATACACCATAAAAAGCTAATTACATGTAACTTCAGTCGTTTTGGTGCTTAATGCATAACCCTTATTATCAACTTAAAATGAATAGCAACATTATCATGCATGTGGATAATGAACTGAAGAGGAAATGAATGTCTAGTTTTAATGAAACACTCTGAATAATGTTCACAGCAGAAAGAAAGACTAAAAGCCTTTGTGAGTAAAAAATATAAAAGACAGAATGTGAGACAGAGAAGTTTGAAAAGATGGAAGTCAAACAAATTTAACAGAGTTAACAACGCAGAAATAAAACTTGTGTGCAAGATATTTGATTATGTTATCACTCAAAAGCCTTTGAAAATTACAGAAATGACTGCCTTACATTTACAAAGAGCAACAACTAATGTAATCGCTTCTGTTTCTGCTCATTTGCATTCGTTTTACCGTCTCATAATGGATCCTTGAAAGAGCAAATGTGTCAAGGATTAGGAATCAAAAGATTTGAAAACACACGAGTGAATGGTGTTTGGGGTTCAAAAGAAATCCTTGCAATTATTGTTTTTCAGTGAGACATTTGTAAACAAATGAACAACACGGAAAACTACTGCATTAACCTTTTCTATTAAGTCAGAGTTGATACAGAGCAGGTGCTTAAGTGTCATTACAGAGCTAAAAACAGAGGCAGTTAACATGAAAAGTATCCGTCTTTACAGTGCAGTCGTAAACATGGCTGTTCTCGTTGTACTCCAGCTTAATGGTACTTCAGTCAATACCGGTTGGCTTGGGAAGTGGTAAAATGCAATGGCAAAAATAAATGTGGCAATGAAAATATAAAATGATGGAGATGGGGTCATAAAACTTGACAGCTATTATTAGTAAAAGTAAATGCCCCAAATACGTGGTGGCCATCAAGTTCTGATTAAGAATTCAGAGAGATGTACATTAGTAACCCTTTCTTTTACAGTCAACCAGCAGTGATAAATAAAACACCTGGATGACGTTATGTGTTCCACTATAACAATCTCCTTTGTGAAGCTTCTGATGTTTAGATTAATGTATGGTAGCTAGGGCTGCTCGATTATGGCAACAATTATAATCTCGATTATTTGGGTCAATAATGGATATCACGATTATTAAAAACGATTATCCATTTACTTTGAAAACATCAATTTATTGGAGAAAACATGTTTTAACAGTATGTTTTTAACAGTTGATAACCCTGAACTTTAAGTATAATTAAACTGAAAAAATTAATTAAAAAAAAAAATTAACAAAAAAAAAATTGATAATAATAATAAAAAAATAATCGTTTTATTTCGATTACGTTGTTTTCGTAATCGTTGCAAGCCGTAATCGCAATT